ATGGGTAGGCATTGAAGTTTGGCGCACACATGATTAGGTGGTTGCTTTAACACATATTTATTAACGAAAATATCTCATCGATCTAGTTTTTGGGACTCAGGTGTGGCATCTTCACTCCTGGGGTTAGAAGTTTTAACACAAAAACTACGAGTTCTTCAGCTTCCTTGACAGCTAGATAGAAGAAATGGCCCTCAGGAAACCCGTATCGAGTCGAATATAATTCCAAGAAGCGTGTTTTCTCACGCTCATTCCCCGCAAGCAGTGGAACAGCAGCAGCAGCTCGTGGAGAGCAAGTTCCAAGGAAATGGAGTGGAGGGAGCAGAGTTGAACAGGTAGCAAGGCGGGGGTGAAGGGTCAGGTTCTTTAGTTCTTCACCACATCACTACACCGCTTCTACAACAGAATGACATTAGAAAGCTCATTTCAGCCTACATATTCCATGATGTTGTTGAGATTTATAGTTCTCTTTTTGCATGCCTGCTTTTTCCACAAAAATCAAGTGGGTCCGAGCAACTGGGCTAAACGCACTATGCGCTCCTTGTTCTCTGAAAACTACTCAGAGCAAGTTGGAAATGCCAAAGGTTTGGTTTTCCGAAGAGAAAGCACTTCTTAGTAGTCGTCGAATCTGTGCATGATTAAGCAACAATTTTTTCGATACCCTCAATCTATGCACCGAAAGGGCGAAGGATGAATAAGAACTTTCGTCTATGATCGTCATCTGATCTTATATCTGAGCAAATACAATCACATATCTCATGTGGACATTTCAGCCATTTTCATGGGAGTAAGTACCGTTGGTCCAGCACTTGCATTTATTGGTGGAGGATATTTGTTGACAATATGGGGAGATATTGGAAAGTCTAATTACCTAGAGTAAGTTCACTTTTATCGTCTTCTTCATAATTTTTCTCATATGTACATAATGGCCAACAAACTTTAGCCTCAGCATCAATGGCCCATCGGATCCACGGTGGTATGGCGCGTGGTGGATAGGATTTCTGGTTGCTGGCCTTGCTTCCTTTATTACTTCGTTGCCGCTGTGTATGTTCCCAAAAAAACTGAACGGTAAGCAAAACTGTGTTCAACATTTCCAGATGAATAGTTGCAGAATTTACGGTGAGAAATAGTGCGGGGCAGAGAGTGTCCCTCTTCTTTTGAACCTAACTTATGGAGCCGTTGCAATCTCGGCGCAGTTGGTTCTGACATACGTTTTTGGGCATCGTAAGATTGTCAAGTGTGAATATTTATTGATAGGGCCTGACATTTGAGTTGAATATCATCTACCTAATGCCTTCTGAATGTCCAAAAGACCTAAAGAGATCAGGCTGTTCCGGAAGTTCTCTCCTTGAAATAACGATTGTTTACTTGTTCCAGACACGGATGAGCGCAAAAAGAATGATGTCGTACAAACTCATGTCAAACTCAATGTTGACTTCTCTGGTGACAAATTTGCATATTTCAAAATTTTCAAGGTATGATTCTTAACAGAAGAGTAGTACATACTTCATAGATTGAGGTTTTCCAATAAGGAGGACTTAAAGTGGAAGGAACTACGACGTCTAGTGCTTAGTATGTGATCGCGTGTAGAGGTGGCGATTTCTTATTGCTAGTGTCTACTTGTAAGCATTTCGGTGACATTCTGATGTTCTCATGAATGAGAAGGTTATGCAACTGCAACCAGTTTGAAACAGAAAACGGCATGCAGTACAAAACTGCAACTACTGATACTGTGACTTGCCCTCTGGAGAAATCGGCGATCCTGTACATTTTTGAACAATACATACGTGATAAGGAACAAAAGCAGTGGAAGGGCGGAAGTGGTGTAGTGGCAAGTGGCACGCTTACCACGCGAGCGGTCCGGGGATCAAATCCTGGGTCGTGAGTCGCCCGGGCCAACCAAGCCTTCCATCCCTCCGGGGTCGGTTAATTGGTACCAGACTTGTCTGGGAGGATAAAAACACTGACTTGTACATCGGCTGGCCCCCGCAAGTCATTGTATAGGCCACATCGCATTCAAACGCCACTGCGAATGTACAAATGGAAGTAGAATGCGTGCCGCAATTAGCTCCGTCGTGCAGCTGTGCGTTCTACCTTAAGGAGAGTAAGGGTTGTAGGAATTTGGTGAGAAACACTCTGCTAATACGAGAGAAGATACTCCCAGCGCATCTCTCGGATGGCTGATTTGAGGAGCACAATAGAATTGAATATGCAGTGCGTCTCAAAAGTATAAAGGGCCTTATGAAACCTGCTGTTCCGGATTAAGATGGAGGATCCATGGCTTGCTAACGGCTTTATTGAGTTCAGCATGCTCCAAAACTATAGTTACTCTGTTCTAGAACGAAATGTATATAATAAATTACAAAATTTGTTATGAAATTATTTTGTAAACTCCACTGTTTCAGAAGTATGATTGGCCACTAGAAAAGAGGACTTCAACAGTAAAATTTGTAGAACTATGCACTTTGCAATCCTGTGGGGCAATGCATCGTTGAAACATGATGTGATCCGGTTAGTAGAGAGATTGAGTTTCAGCTTTTCACCCAAAAGCAAGTTCCTGCGAAGGTTAAATGCTTCATAACTACCTAAATGGCCAACTCGTGGATGTAATAACAATATTTTTCTTGAGGGAATCCAACTACTCATGGAAATAACAGACCTCGATGACAGGGGGGGGGCACAAAAAAGCATTTGCCCAGCACTTCGGCCTTTTTCTTCGCAGAGATTGCCGTCGCTGACGGAAGTTCCTCAGCAAAATATTCCCTAAATGTCCCTCTATAAGTACACGCAGGCCCTCCTTCACTACCCTCACCGTCTTCAGAATATGACGTCATCTGTCACCGTCGTCGAGCTCAGGGAGGCCTACAGTAACTGCTTCAGCCTGAAGCTCTTACAATTTCTATCGATTCAAGGTGGAATAGTTTCCTTGCTTCCTCCTTTTTGCCGTACACGTAGATGGCCACTATGAAGATTTTCTCATGAAATGAAATGCGTCTTCAATTCTAAGTTGGGAGCACACGCTTTGAGCTGAGCAAGTGTGATTAAATCCATTTGAGTCTGGGACAAAATGTCTTTTTTATTGCCCCCGTATAACTTATTTCGAGACCACACTACATTATATTCAACAACCGTTTTCCTGTGGTCCTGTTGCCACATCGGACGCGCAGTCTTCGCCGTTGACATTACTGCTAGAGAGGTGCCGTCTCAACTCCAAGTATTACGTTAGGGTCCATGGTGAAAGCTCCATGATTGAGCGAGCACCACAGAATAGTTCGTCGTAGCGGAGGAATTGAGAACGCAATGGATTCAAGTTGAAGTCGACAGCACAGGGAGGCACTTCATTGTAAGTGATAGTTAAGGATCTTTTCGGTTTGGGTTAACTTTTTTGATAGGAAAATGTCTAACTGAGCCGGACCGACTGCATATAACTGTTGATGGTGGCATACCAGAAAAGTAAACTGTTCTTCAGCCGAGGAGACTTTTGCGGCGGATCCCATATGAATAGCGCTGCACTATGTAGCAATGCTGCCTTCCTTCTGGCTCTTGCTTGGTGTGGAACGAACTCAAGCAACCACGAGGATGACCTTGCTAATCACTTAGTGTTGTTCCTTGGTTTAGTGAAGATTGTAGGTTTTAATCCATTCTTCATTCACGGCATTGCTGCCATCCACTGCTGCCGGTTCTGGTACGGGTTTGCTTCACGAAAACATTATATTATAGGTTGGCGCTCATGCAGTTTGCATCCAAATTCTATGAGAATTTTCGGGGAACTATTGCGTGGCACATCTACGCTCGTGGAAATCAGTTACATGTTGTGGAAGACCTCGGCTGTACTGACAAGACGTTGCGATCATATGGTGTTGTTCTTCTGTAGAAAGCTCCAATCTCCAGGCACATGGAGTATTCTTTAATTGAGCATGCCCACAGAGTCGCAAATGAGATGACAGGAGGAAAACCATTTTGCAGCAGTCTTCTTGACCAGGGTGCCTTCATGCTTTTGAAACAGGGAATATTTCGCCAATTTTTTTTTACAAAAATGTTTGCAGCTTAGATTTCTTTTATGAAGTGAGCTATTGTTGCCCCAGAGTATGCCGAATTTAATCAACTTGTTTGCGAGCCATGGATCATTTGTTCTGTGTGCGAATAACTTTTATAAGGGGTGCTTTATACTTTTTTAACGATTTTTATTAAGTAGTCAGAAGCTATTTGCGGTTTGTGATTCTGGAACTTCAAATCATGTAGGGGTCCGGCGTCGACAAAAACTTCTTCGATGTGTAATACTCAGGTCTAAAAGAGAACAGACGATTTTCTTCGTCCCTCCCTTTATCCTTTCAATGTACCTGAATGCTGCCCATGAAGTTCGATTCCCTCTGCCGACTTCTTTTTGAGCTAGGTTTCATCGTGTTGATATTTCGATCTAGGTACACGTAGCTGGAGCATTACGAATATCTTTGTTCCGCTCTATAGCAATTATGAAAGTAAAATAAAGAGAAATCAAATTTGTTATCACCATTGCTTCGAATTTGATTACGAGATTTGCCCACCTATCTTTACATTCCTAGCGCCTGGCAGCGATTATCATTTGGAAGGCCTACGGGCTGCATCTGTCTAGCAACATAAGCTATTTGGCAGGCTATGGGCGGCAATCGGCGTGAAATATATTGGAAGTCGATCAGATATTGATCTATCTTTACAACGAGTTGGGCACGTGGAGGCGCTGAATACTCACATTCGACATGGGGATCGGGTGTGCAAATCATCAGCTTTTGTCTTGCGGTGATGAACTGGGCCTTTGACCATGACGATCTCGTCAAAACGTCACGCCGCTTATAAAGACTCCACCAGCTTCGTAGGTAGAAGATGAACATTACTGTCACACAACGTCGAGGTACTACGAAGACAAAAGGTTCGAATTGTGATAGGGGTTAGAAACGGGTGGACTAAAGTAGCGTTTTATAAATTAGAGTAGTGAAGAGAACATATCAATAAGAATAATGAAGAATAAAATAATATCAACAATTGGTGTCAAAGTTCGGAACGATCAGATGTTTTTCTTCAGTAAGACTTGCATGGGCTTGATAGCTATGCAAACAGCTGAGTCTATGATTATGAATGGATATATTACATTCATACCGAAATTGTTCGAGAATCTCTTCGGCTTCAGCAGCAGTTGGGCGAGCACTATGACAGGTAGGGAATATTAGAAAGGAAGCCTTGTGTGTGAAATTTATTCGCATTTTTAAAAAAATATTTCTTGTGGTATAACAATGAGCTTAAATATTGCACATTGGGGTCACCCGCCCGTTGAGCGTTAAATCGACACATGCCACCTTGGCTGCTCATCGATTTTGTTGTTTTGTTCTGGCTGTATTTAATTCAACATGGTTAATCGTCGATTGTGAGTAACATAGGGCAAGTGTTCAGTACCTCTTTCACAAAGCTCTGACCCGTTCTTCTGGACCGCGTTTTTATTGCTGCGCTGAATATATTGGGTTGAGAAAAAGTCTTGATCGAAAGTTTCACACTTTTCTTATAATAGATTTTCTTAAAGGGTTGGTAGGAAGGATCCCATAATCGTATACGGTGGAGGGTTCCGTACTCCATTTTAGCGGTTTCGGTGATTGCATCTTTTGGTTAATGACTAAAGTGATTGAGCCATCTTTATGCAGGTACTTACATAAGCCATTATTTGAACTATCTACATCTTCAAATCTTCAAGGGAGCCAGCACCCATCTCAACACCCGCTGCAAATAACGGTGCCTCCTTCAGGAATAATTTCGTTGAAAGGGTAAGCTCGTTCTGGATGGCCCAACAGGGTGAATATCGCTTGAGGATTCCTCAACGGCACGTCGAGGATTCTCTGCCCGGTCAGACACGATCTCTCGCGCGGACATTCACACTCGCCATGGGCGTGCCGTCTGTGCTCTCCGCGCGGATGTTCACTCTCGGCACTACTCTCACATGGTAGAGAGCTATGGTCGAGGAAATCCTCGACCGTTATTCACCTGATGCGACTGATAAGTGGACAGTGGATATGTCGCGCATAGCTAGCGAATCGATGGACAGGGCTAATACATATCATGATTTTTGAATTAGTGTGGTGCGACTGCGAAAACATGGTCGGCCACTTAGTAGCAATCAGGCTACCGCAAACGTAATCTAGAGTTAGGAACCACAACAAATGCGTTTCGAGTGAAGCGTCAAGGATCAGGTACACATCTTTATTTCTGCGCCTTCATAAGAAGGAGCTCCCCAACATGTCGTCACTGGGGATGGTAACTGGCTTCAGCTGCCAACCATACGGCACGTCAACTGTGGTTGTTCCTCGGAAAGCCACCTCAAAAATAGGCAAGAAGTGATAAATGCGAAAGAAAGCGTTGCTTAGTTGTTAATGGAAGTTCCAAGGAATGTTTTAGCCTTTGCCTTTGCCGGATTCACCATGACTGCTCAGGTGCAGGCTTCTCAACTGCAGACGCTGGATCCGATGTGAACCCCCTAAACGCGTTATCTTCTCTGCCACGACGCCCGCTGGCGTGTTCCGAAGCTCTCCCGCACACATTTATCGGAACACGAGTGGGAGGCGCTACCCATACTCATAATGAGATCTTCAACTTCTATGACTCGCAGATACAAAACTTCCAGGCTTCCAAGCTGAAAATCTTCCGAATTTATGGGCAATCATGTAGGATACAGAAATTCTCTCTATGATCAACCAAAGTCTGTTTACAAGAAAGAGAAAACTGAACCACCGAAGCAGTGGTACAAGTGATCTAACTGTTTGTTGTTCTGGTTGGCCTATAAAAGGCTTCCGCAGTAGAATAAAGTAGTTTTTCGTCTTCCTCGTCTCAATGGCAGTAGCGGAACGACTACAGAGGACCATAGTGGTAAACATGTGGTAAATTGAAGATCCTACTGTAACAGAAAGTATGAGTATTTGAATTGTGGTACAATTTCGATCAAAACTTCAACTTAGTAACATTGAAAGCACAGGAAAGCAGCCAACTAACAAGGGAGGTTCTTTCATATTTGTAGAGGCAAGCAAGCAAAGAATACAGCGTTTATTTTTCTTGACGTTTCAAGAATGCGAAAAAGGGGAGGAAATAAATTTTCTAGTCGTAAGAACTGCAGTTTTTAACGCCGCGTGTATCCTAGCACTGAGTAGTTGCATAAAATCTGAGAGCACAAGACCAAGTCCGAGTCCACGAAGAGCTTAGCGTTCTGCTGCATCATTGAGATCATAACATCCTCAAAATGCTCTAATGCAGTATCCCATTAGCGATGCTCTTGCCGATTCTTCACCCCACCTCAATTTCCGCATCTCAAAGCCTTTGTGTTTTCTAGCACAAATGACAACGATGATCATAAAAGTAGGAAGGAGCTCTACTTTTTTGCTATTTGTAATTTTTTTATGTGCTATTTTATAGGACTTATCATCGTACCCATGGGACTGATCGGAAGTTTTGTTGGTGGAAAACTTGGAGAGAAAGTCGAAAACCGTTTCAGGTAAAATCACAAAATTTGCGCACTGATGACTTTGCAATTACTCGTCCTGGGTTCAAATTATTTTTGTGATTCACCCTGACCATTGTACGAAGTGGTGTAGTGACAAGTGGCGCGCTTACCACGCGAGCGGTCCGGGGATCAAATCCTGGGTCGTGAGTCGCCCGGGCCAACCAAGCCTTCCATCCCTCCGGGGTCGGTTAATTGGTACCAGACTTGTCTGGGAGGATAAAAACACTGACTTGTACATCGGCTGGCCCCCGCAAGTCATTGTATAGGCCACATCGCATTCAAACGCCACTACGAATG